CCTTTTGGTTTTCAGACTCCAGGTCTTTGCACATTTCGTTATAGTAATTGGCTTTGTCTACTCGAGCTGCTCTTTGAAATCTTCTGTTCAGCCCTTTGACCTTTTCATTTCTTCCATTTGCTTTAACTATTCTCTGCTCAAGGGCAAGGTTCAGAGTCTCTTCTGTCATCCACTTTGGTCTTCTCTTCCTTTCTCGTCTTTTTAGTGATCTCTTGCTTTCATCAATCTAGGGTTTTCGGCTGTAGATTGCCAGGCCTTTCTCCCTAGTCCCTGTTGGTGTTGAAGCTCTGCTGACAGGTGATGGTGGTGCTCGAAGTTGACTGGTTGGGAAATGAACCTCAGTCTTGCACATGGATGGTAGGGGCGCTGCCATGGAACCACTGCCATCCTTGTTGTACGTGTATACTAGGTGCTTAATGAAAATAGCAAAAGCTGCGCAAGTTGGAGCCTGTGTAAGTGCGAACCTTTCAGAAGAGGAAAAGTGAAGTATTTTTGGCTAAATAGAGAGTGTGAGAAAAGCAGGGACTGCACCTGTCAAAGGAGGAAAACTTGCGAGACCCAGAGACACAAGGCAGTCTTGGTGAGTTCCAGCTCTCACGGGTTTCACTGCCAAGGAGGTTTCTGATGTTCAGGCGATGGAGGCGAGCATGCCAGCCCCTGGGAGGAGGGAACAAAGCCGGTGCCCAGGAGGATCTGGCATGCCCGTTAGGAAGCCGGCAGAGCCAGCACTGGTTTTGTTCTGCTTCTGATGGTGTCTGGATTATAATGTTTAAACATAATGAGATTACTATGGCGGTGCAGAATGGCTACAGTCAGTGGTCACATGCTGCTGGGGTGGTGATATGTCGATCTAGGACAGTCAGTTTGTGTTAGTCATTCACACCTAGTTTAAGGGTGATAGACTTGTACTTACTTAGGCCTTGCTTCAAATCTAGTTGAAAGAATCTGTACTTCTTTTAAGTGAAATTTAATGTCTTAGAGTAAAATTCCTTTGTTTACTCTGCACTGTAAGGAGTAGACATTTGTATTAGAATATAATGGAGCTGTTTTTTAATATTATACATTTTTTAGTTTTCCAGTTTTTACTGTCACCGTAACCAATGGTCATTTCTCTAAACACATAGCATTCTCGACGTTTAGCAGAGAATGGCAGTGTTACAGGAAGTAACCCTCTCTGCCCTGTGGACAGCCGCCTGCTCCCCTCTGTAGTGCAGTGTTTTTCCTTCAGTTCTTAGACCTCACACATTTTCATTAATAACATTTCTTTCTGTTAAGAACTGCACTGTAGTCTCTAAGTTCAGGTCCCTTAAATCATCCTTGGTCATGTAAATAAGCTGTGCTTTGCAACTTTGGGGTTTTAACCTTTGCTCTTTGCTATTAACTTTATGTTTTTTAATTATAGGAAAATGGAGGATGGTAGGGGAGTTAGGACTTAAATGGACTGTTGTTACTGCTGATTTCTTTTTGAGGGAGATGAAGAATGTTCTTTACTTTGTTCCAATGGAGCAGAAACAAATCTAGACTCTGTCTTGTACTGTGATTTTTGTGAAGTATTTAATGTCATCACAGTTTGATTCTTTATACTTAATAATTACCTTTCCATCTCAGTGATTGATGGTGGGGTCAGTTGTTTATAGTTGTAAAGTGTTCCTTGTCCAGAGTTGCTGTTACCTAATGCACGTATGTATAAAAGAATGCATGTTACTTTCTATACAAGGATGTTGTGTTAATGATGAAGTTACAATCGTGAAAAGTACAAGTACGTTATTTCACTTCAAAGCTAAGAGTCTAGAATATCATCGGAGGACACCCAATAGAGAGCAGTGATGAAGGGATCCGTCCGCATTTTCAGATCCTGTGGCATCCGTCACATCTCTTCTGCTGGGCTGTATCGCTTTGCAGTTCTTAGTTGTCCATTTGTGCAAACATGTCCAGATGAATTCAGTGGTTAATGTTAAGAATCTTATAACATGCCAATTTGATTTGTGGCCTTTCATATCAAAGAATGCTAATTAAAATCATATTTTTGCATATGCCATGCCTTTCATGTACGTATGCAAATAGATTCTGTTGCCTTTCAGCTATTAGTAATTAACTTTATGAAGGACAGCTGTAATATATAATTAACAAAAATGTTTGCAAGCCCTTTTACACTGAAAGTTACAACAGGAAATTTTTTTTGCCTTATCAGGAGAACCATTGTAGCCTGATGGTTCTGTAAGATCTCTAAATTGTTTTAAATACTCACATGACACAATTAAATTGATGTTGTGCTGTGATCGAGGGCCTTCGTGTGGACAGGCGTCTGATTTCTACAGTTTCATATTTGTGTCTATGGAATTGAATTAACTCAGCTGATTTGTGTGTAGAATAAGAGAGGATGTCGGTGATGCATTTTGTTTGTTTCACTTATTGATACCTTCCTGGCACTTAAGCCCCCCCCCCTTTTTTCTTCCCATTCCTGCTGCAGACATAGTAAACATTTATATCATTTTTAAAAAAACTTTCCTTCAAATTATAACCATGTTTTAAAGGAAGCTTCGTGAAAGCTATTCATTTTCACTTTTGCAGTCCCTTAAACATTTAATAAAGTGACATTTTCTTCACCTCATTTGACGACTGACGTGAGATCACGCAGGGGCAGAGTGTGGTATGTTGAGGCAGTGCTGTGTCTCTGTCCCCTGTGACAGGAGACAACGACTGAAGAACTTGAGCTGTTGGTTGACTCTCTGTCACCCACGACCATCTCACTCCGCGAAGAACAAGTTTTGACGTCCCGATTTCTCTTGTTTCAGTGATGGCACCACGGTCCTTCTGACCACGAGCTCCTTTGCTGCTTCGGTTAATGACAGCCAAAGAAGCCTCTCTGGGAATGCTCTGTGGTGTGTGTTTTCCCCGCCATCTGTACACATGCTCTTGTTCTGCGGACTTTGTACACTTACCTCTAACAGGTCGAGTTTTACTTCTGTAATTACTTTTATTATTTTTTTTAGGGTGGCTTTTGTAATGAAGAAGCACTTAAATACGCATCTCCTGGGCAAACACGGAGTCGGCACCCCAAAAGAAAGGTAATTTCCACTTGTTTTTTTCATTTGATAAAAATATTTACGTTTTTCTTGTGGCCTTTGTTTAACGTGGTGACTTTTCTCAGAATTTTTATCAAGTCAGGTCATTGTGATTTGCATTTGGGGTACTTTATTGTTGAATAGCATACTGTGTATACTCGTCTCACAAAAATTGAACGTCATCTTTTAGTTTTTAAAATTCTGATCTAAAAATATTTGAAAGGAACTGGCAAATTTAAGTTTCTGATTTTATGAAGTAACCAAGAAATATAAGCCATGTTCAACGAGAGGCTTTGACCTCTGGAAACATGGAAGAGTGCATGCACTAAATTCAGTATATAAAATGGACTGTCTCTGCTTCTCTTGTATTTTTATTTGGAGGCTTTAAAATAACACTTTTAAAATTCTTACAGTAGAACTAAGCATTGATGATATTAAAAAAAATCTTGTGTCATCCCCAAAATAATACCACAGTTGCCATGTCATTAAAAATAACACTACAATTATTATGTCATTGGCTGCCAGGTTTCCTTTCTTCTTGCTACTGTATCATAATTAGCTTCATCACATAGACTTAATTATATTAGCTGAACCGAAATATAGTCGTGGCAGGTACCAGGTGAGCATGGCTACTTCTGAGGTTTTTAAGTCTTTAAAATGTACAGCTTACTCAGAACTAGTGCCAGGTTCGGTACCTTTGAGGAAGGGGTAGGTTTTCACCTTCCACACATCTTGCAAGGTGGTAGTGACAATACCACAGGCATTCCCGGAAACCTTCCTTCTTCAGTTGTCTAAATGCCAGTAATGATGCGACTTGTTCCACCGCCTTGTAGCACAAGGCCTCGTCACCAATATTTGTCAACGTTTCGTTGCCTTTAAATTTAAAACGTTCTGACCAGTATTTTCTGTTTATCAGAAGTTGAACTTGGCTTTGCCATTGGAGGCTTGTTGTTGTCCTTGGCGTGGTGCCATGGCAGGGACCGCTGTGCCAGCGTGCTGCCGGGTGGCCTACGTCTGCTCTTTACTGTTTGGTGTGCTACGCTTTCCTTTATAACTTTATATATCTCCTCACTTACCAGCTATCTTGTTATTTGACATTTTGGGTTCATGACAACTTTGGAAAAATTTTTAGGCAGTGCTTCTGATTGTTTGGGCCTTATAGAGGACCATGGCTGGGTGCAGGGCGCCCTGCACGGGCCACCATGAATGCCATGCTGGAGGCTTCTGCAACGGCTGGGCCACATGAGTAATGGCAGGCGACCAGCCGCAGGATGCCTTCAGCAATTCATCCACAATGTCTTGGTCCAGCCACAGCTGGTACGGGGTGATGGCAGGATGACTTAAGGTTGTAGGTGGGCAGGGGCAGGTCAGGTTAGTGCCCAAAGGTGCAGGGGAGGATGGTGGGGGAAGGTGGGAAGGTGGGGAGAGGGAAGGGGGCTGCATGGGGCTGCGGGGTCAGGGCAGGTGGCGGGAAGTGGCAGGGGGTGGGCAACCTGACCACTACTACTACCACCCCAACCCCTATGGGCTCTGCATTGGTGGGGAAGGCATGTCAGGGAAGGGAGGCTCACTGTACCACACACATCCCAAGATGTACTGGGTACCCGACAACCAGTGAGCAACCGATGTGGGGGCCCTGGCCCTGGAGGTGGAGTGCAGCCTCCAAATCTCACATGATGCTGATTTCTCTGTACAGCCTGGTCTTTGGAACCAAACCATATCGGTAAGTGATGAGTAGGTGTGTGTAATTTATCATTGCAGCAAAATTGTATGTTGAACATGGCATGGATGCATTATTTTTAAAATTAAAAAAATTACATTGTTTAACAAATAATTTAGTGCTTGTTGCAGTTATGTTTCGTAAATGTTAAAGAAATGGAAATAAACCTTGTTTTTAGTTACTGTGTTTCATGTACTTTGATATGCAGTCTCTTATGTCATCATTCTGTGACCTTACCAGAGGGTACTATTGGTCACATTTTATGGCTCTAAAGACTGAGAGTCAGGGACACGCGGTAATGTGCACGGTATCCCCTAACTGCCGACTGTCGGAGCTGAGAGTCAGGGACACGCAGTAATGTGCACAGTGTGACTGTCGGAGCTGAGAGGGACACACGGTAATGTGCATAGTGTCCCCTAACTGCCGACTGTTGGAGCTGAGAGTCAGGGACACACGGTAATGTGCACAGTGTGACTGTCGGAGCTGAGAGGGACACGCGGTAATGTGCACAGTGTCCCCTAACTGCC